TTTCCCATTCACATTAGTCCATTAAAAAAAAACATTTTATAGCATTCCTAATTTTTCACCAGAGGACTAGAATAGCCATTAAAATGAATCAAAAGCTAAGACTGTACAAGCATAGATTTATTTGACAGTGATCAAATGGTACAACTCAAAGTAAACATTATCTCAATGAGGTTCCTTATCTAGTAAGAGAGAAAGGAATGTTTTTATAAATAAAAAGGTTATACAACTGTCAAGTCATAGATATTATTGTTAAAGTCATTCAGGAAAAACCATTTTGTTTCATCTGCCTTGAACCAAATGGAATGTACACATATCCATACTTCATCAGAGAAATAACTGATCTTTTTTTTTTTTTTTTTTTTTGAGACAGGGTCTCACTATGTAGTTCAGGCTGGTCTTGAACTCACTATGTAGCCCAGGCTGGCCAAAAACTCACAGTGATCCTCCTGCCTCAGCCTCCTAAGTGCTGAGATTACAGCCATGTGCCACCATGGCCAGCATAATAACTGATCTTTAAAGTGACAAACTGAGGATCAGGAAACTCAAGGGCCTGTAATAGCCAGAGGGGTAATGCCAGGGAATGACCTGGACTTAGCATGCATCCACAAAGAAGGTTTAGCAGTTAGCGGTTCACTGGAGGGCCCAGGCTGACTGCAGGGGCAATTGTTAACCCACCCACTGTCTGCTGCTCAAGGAATGAAAATCTGGGGTTGCTAGAGCTTCTGAAGAAATTTGGGGTTTCATGTGAAATGCCATGAGTTTTAAAGGCTGCCTTACTATTTATTTTACAATTCTTTGAGGCAAAGAAAATATATTTATAAGCCAGACGTGGCTATGAATTGGAAGTTGTGACCTTCGTACAAGACATGCTAAAGCCACTCTGAGTCATCACAGAGAACTTTGCAGATGATTATTAAATTAATTGTATTTGTATTTTTAATATGAAAATGTACAATTCATTCTATTAATCCTAAAATATACCTCACTACCTTCTGTATCTATATGCCAGATCACCCCACTGTTGGCCTCTGTTCAGTTTTATTTATTTTTATTTATTTATTTTTTTGCCAAAATCCTCCAAACTCTAACAACTTTCAATAGCTAAAATCCAATCAAAGCACATAGGTACCATACCTGGAATTATAAATAAACCCATTCACAGGTCTAGCTTCATTGTAACAGTACTCTAGGGCAGTCAAGGCACAGTCGTATCTTTAAAAATCAAGTCAGAGTAAACACAAAGGACATCTGCACAAGGCAGAGAATCAAGTTCTTAGACACGAAACTGGCTTTTAGGTTCAGAGATAGTCTAGAACTTGATTCTGAGTATCGTTCTTAAGAGTTACAGCTATACTCGTCCAAACATAGTTTAATATCTACATCAGTACTTAACGTAAAAACAAAAACAAAACCCAAGTAATATTTCTTTTATTAACTGCTTCACTCCAACCTTGGTTAGCGGAATGATGAGACTATCTAGCCTAACAATTCTGGGAAAACTTCTCATTACAAGCTGATGCCTTGCTACTGGAGGTACTGATTAAACTCAAAATGAACCTTGAATTAGATGCCGTGATGAATTAGATACAATAATGGTTCTGAAAATGTAGAAAAGATTTAAGATTTAATAGAGTCACTCAAATATTAAAATGGCATGGTGGAACTGGCTCATAGCAAAACTTAATTTTCTATTAGTTTTATTACATGGGTGAAACTACTTAGTTAAGAGAGAACAGATGGGACTGGGGCGCATGGTTAGGCTGCATGGACGCAGTTCTCCTCTTGTGGACCCACAGGAGGAAAAGGACTTTTTGGTGCCTTGTGGCTTGCACTTTTCCCCAGCAAAACAGTCTTGTCCTCTCAATTCCATTGTGTGCCTGGGAAAAAATAAATATTTCCATAAGAGGCACAACTACAAGAATGCTATGAGCTCGTTTTAAAAAGGTTAGCACCATATGTTGACTTTAATAGCTATTTTTTTAACCCTAACAATCTATTTGTCATGTAAACACCACAGAAAAATCGCCCCTTTCAAAAAAGCTCATGCAGAAGCATTAGACTCATAATTGAAAGTACACACCCAAAGCAGGCAAAAATATGGCTTATGTTTTAAAATGCCAAATAATTTTACTATGAAATGTATAGATTTGCATGATTTAGTATTTATTTCTTATTAACCAGATCCAAGTTCTCTGATATATCTCTACTATAAATGTATTATCTATTTAGAATATCTGTTTTTAAAAAGTATCTATTTTTAAGCCATACAACCTGTATTTGCATATACAGGTGTAAGCTATCCTGCTTTGTACCATAGAGCCAAAATACTAAAAAGATTAAAAATACAATTTTGGGGGCCAGGGATGGCTCAATGGTGGCCGTGCCTGCCTCACAAGCACAAGGTCCTGAGTTTGATCCCTGGTACCAAAAAAACCCCAAAAACCAAAAACAATTTTTTAAAATCTCAAGTTACAGACTAAGAAAATGTTGTATTTCCTCCAGTTTTTTGAACTACAGCACTAAAAGTAATCTGTATTAACATAATCTGGATTTGCAGATACAAATATAAGTCAATGGTTGGTTGTAAAATGCAATGGGGTTGGGAAGACCCTCACAAATTGGCTATTAAATCCTAAATCAAATTATTTTGGAATGACTTAACTCTTCTTAGTTTCAACCCTGGAAATAGGCTCTAAAATTGGAATTGTGACTTTTTATGTGCTTCAAACAGACAAACTGACTTTACAATTGATATTCTGTAAGAGAGTAGGTATTTCTAGCACCCAAGAAACTATATAATGTGGAATGGGGGAAGTCAGCGGCATGATTCCATTGTTGTTTATCCAGACTGTAGCTTTCAGCCCTGCATTGAGACCTCCTTGTATATCAGTTTCTAATATGTCACCAACCATCACACAGTCCCCAGACTGTACTCCAAGGAGATCACAACAATGATAAAATATGGAAGGTGCTGGTTTCTCCTCTTTCTGCTCTCCACCTACAACAACAGCGTCAAAGTAGGACTGACAGGCACAAGCCTCGATCTTTTCCCGCTATCTGTCACCATTTGTTAATAAGAGTAGGCGGACCTCCTTGAGAAGTTCTGTGAGCATGGCTTTGACATCTTCGGCTAGGGTCATATGCTGTAGACAGCAGATTTCCACAAGAAATAACATTCCTCAGCCTATCTCCTGTTGTCCTTACCACCTTTTGTTTCCTGGATTGCTTCTTCCCAGTGGGAAGTCCTTAGGTCTGTAATCCATATATTGTAAGGATGAAAGCATTCTTTGCTGAGTTTAACTTGTACTTTATCACAGATGATTTCAGTTTCTTCTTTACAATGGTATTTTGATTATAATAGATTTATTACCTCTGACATGCCCTTCCAGCTTGCTCTGGCCGTATCAGTGAATGTGTTGTCCAGGTCGAAGAACACGCCCCTCATGCAGGTCAACCCCGTGGCCCACGTGCCCATCCAGAGCCCGACGTGCCACTTGCGCAGGTGTGAGGTTGCCTGAGGGAGAGGATGTGGACTGCCAGTGAGGTCAGCTGACCCCACGCAGCTAAGAGGCACTGAGCTAGTCCACCGTGGCCTTTCTGGAACTCCCTCTCTGTTCAGTTTTATGGCTCTCACCAACCAGGATACCCCATGGCCACTGCCCCTCACACCCATGACCTTGAATTTAAATCCTACTGGTTCTTTAAAGTGTGGTTTAAATCCTAACTCTGGAACAAAACCTCCACGATCCTTCTCAAAATACTCTATAAGGGCAATCGAAATATACAGTGAAATTTAAAATTAAAAAGTTAATTATAGTAAAAGATGCATTGCCATTAATCCCCCTAAAACTGCCCCTTCATTTCAAACACATTTATCCCATTGTTCTTGTCACTTTCTGAAATGATTCCAGAAGTCCTTTCATGAATGTCTTTATAAGATGTGATGAAAATTATGATGAATTCTGCTGCTGCATGCCATCCAACAGAAAGGCAGCCTCATAAAAAAAACATTATGGATCCACCTTATTCACCAGATCTGGCACCATGTGACTACTGGCTCTTCCCCAAAGTCAAGATGACCATGAAAAGGCAAATGTTTTAAATCTATTTGGGACATGAGACAGTCCTGATAGCACAACTAAAGACACTCCTAGAAGAGGACTTCCAGAACTGCTTCAAAAAGCGGCTATACCAGGCATGGTGGTGCATGCCTGTAATCTTAGCACTTGGGAGCCTGAGGCAGGAGGATCACTTTGAGTTAGAGGCTAGCCTGGGCTACAGAGTGAGTTCAAGGCCAGCCTGAACTACATAGTGAGACCCTGTCTCCAAACAAAACAAAACAAAACAAAACAAAACAAAACAAAACAAAAAAAAGTGGCTAGGACCACAAGAGAAGTGTGTTTGAAGTGAGTGGAAGTATTTTGAGAAGGATTAATGGCAATGACCTTTTATTGTAATTGACTTTTTAGAAATTTGAACACCTACTCTATTTTCATCACACCTTGTATGTACAAATCTTGATAAAAATTATCCAACATAAAGGGTTTGCACTGATTTCTATCAGGTCTCCTCACCCCTTTGGCCCAATGGTGTAAGAAGATACTAATTACTCACTATAGCTCTTCACTGTTACAAAAATCAAAGGCCTAGAACCAACAGGTCAAGAATAAAGTGTAAGACCATAATGTTAAGTGAAATAAATCAGACACACAAGCTTAAATACCACATCGTTTTTCTTTTATATGAGAAACTCAAAGTGTACACAAGGAGCAGATGGGGTGGATACATGATAGGAAGTAGAGAATAGATTTTGTTCAAGTGGGTATTGGATCAAGAGAGGGAAGGAGTGGGGTGGGAGAGGGTGGCAAGGAGAAGAAAAAAGACTTGAGATGTGTTATATACACGAACCAACTTCCCACAAGGAATATAATCATTATGTACTGCAAACATGTACTAATAAAAAATAAAAACTGAAAAGAAAAAAGTGTGACAGCACTCACCGCCAAACACATCTCCGTTCTGGTAGTTTTTCCCTTTCTGGGCTTCCTCTTCATTTTGAACAGTGGCAACATGCTTGGCGGAGGCACAGCCCATAGTCTCATTCGGTCAGCTTCAGCTGGGCTGAACTGCAAATCATCTCTACAGACACCAGGACATTGTTTGCTTCTTTAAACACAAAGAAAATTCAACTCGCTGTTGAGTCGGTCAAGAGGAGTGCACCTGCAAGAAGAGAAAGCTGGGTCAGAAAGGGTGACTCCAGCAAAACCAGGGCCTCGTTATGGCTGTATAATGTGAGCCCTAGGTAGAGAGCTCCACAGGATCCACAGCACTGGCCTTGTGACTCAGGCCTGGAGGATGAGATTCAAAAAGGCCCATTCTCACTTGATTCCCACTCAGAAAGCAAGATCAGAAGGCACACCCCCACATAACACATGGCTGAGGGGAAACTCTCTGAAGAGATATAAAAATTACATATTTATTTACTCAAGTAAATATTTGCACACTACTATTTGCTACACAAACTGGCAATGTGCTTATAGGTTTGTTAATGTTCTGGAATCTCGAAAACCTTCAAGTAAGCAAAGCACATTCATGTGAGACCCACCAAGTTCAGGGGGCTGAGAAAAGTTTTTCCTCTTCCCCATCCTACCCTGCAGGCCAGCTCTTCCAGCCTCTGGAAACTTTCCAGGAGGAGGGAGCCTTCCTCTGTAGACTGAAGAGTGGGCTGGTTTACACATTTATGGATGGGGTTGAAAAATTCAGTATTTTCCCTGTAGTGACACAGTTTTAGAAGACAAAGGAAAGAGACGGGATGTGCACAGAAACTTACTTTTGTTCACTTTCTGCTTAGCTAGCTGAATGCTTTAAGGATCAAGGGGAAAATGTAGGAATATGAAGAAAAGCAACAAAGTAGTTGTCTACCTCCTGGCAGGGCCTTTGTGCCTCTATGGGCCTCTCATAAAGGCAGAAATATTTATGGATACACCACAAGGAGATTATGCTTAAGTTGACTGGAATAGATGTACCTTTCCCTACCGTACCCAAATTCTCAGGGTTTGCTCAGCCCAACATGCTCATTTTTGCCTTATATTTTCACCACCCTTATACAGCCATTCCACACTATAATGTATTATATCTTGTAGATGTTTCCTTTGAAATATCTCTCTGAGCCACTCCTCCCTCTCCACCCATCCTACCACAACACAGCCCTTACCCTCAGAGCCAAGGAAGCATCAAGCCCCTTTTAACTTTCACCAACACCCATATTCCACCATTCTCCACTATGAACAATGATGTTTCTCGACTTTCACACACAGTGCTTCCAAAACATAGCTGCAAGCTTTCTCTTCCCACAAGACTGCTAACCCTACACCCCTCTTCCAAGAGACCAAAGGACATATGTGCATATAGAAATCTATTGATTTAAAGGATAAGATCTCAGCAAAGACAATTTTTCAAATATGCCTAATAACTCTAATAAACAAACGTAGATATAAAGGTAACGATCTTAAATTAAGGCCAGCAAAAGCAAACCGCAGTAAGTATTGAGTATGACTATAACATACCCATGTCTATTTAATTCCTCTATTTTCTAGCACTGGTTATATTAAGTTGTTAACAGAAACTATATAAGTTTGGTTGGAGAAATTTTGCAAAGCAGGGAGATTTTTTTCCCTAGTTCAACGATGGTGAACCTTTTAGAGTTTCAGTGATAACAAACACCCCATTGTGGCATGTGTGCCATAGGTTCACCACTACTGCTATGTGAGGGTTTTTTTGGTACCAGGGATCAAACTCCAGTCCTTGCACTTTCAAGGCAGAGGGCGGTACCACTGAGCTAAATCCCCAGCCCCACCACTGCTATGTTACAAACAAACTATGCTATTATTTGGCAGCAATGTCTTTAAAGCCACAGTATTCCTCTTTGATGGTCTATTTGTAGTTGTATACAGAATTCTGGAGCCTGACAGGGCAGAGATGCAGCATGAAAAAAGAAATGCACACAAAGTAGCTTAGTAAAGTGTCATGATAGGGTTTTCACAGGAATTTGTAACGATGCAAAACTCTTAAGAGCAGCCCAAACTACAACTGGGCAGACAGGAACTGAAGAGAAGTCTTCTTCTTCCTGACTGTAGAGTCTGAAAGCTTGGGCAGAAATTCACGAGGCTCGAAGAAGAGTGGCAACACGCAGCTGTTGGAGGCACACTGTGTCAGGCCACCCAGCCTGGGCAGAGGCACTGGAGTGTGGAAGAGCACAGCACACTGTGTGTGTGCTTGTTTCAGGAGGGGTCAGGCATGTGTTGGGGGCAGGGAAGAAGCCTGGACTGCTGGTGCTTTGTCAAGGGCCTGCAGAAGGCCTGGCTTACTGCCTTTATCCCACTTAAACTATCATTAAGATACAGGGAGTCTTTCTGACCCAAGTTTGCACATACTGTGAGAAAAATTTAATAGTGAAGAAATCCATTCTGTTGACTTAGCCTGGTTTGTGAAGAAACATCACTGAAACATGAGACAAGGGGAACAGAAGGGACTGGGTTCTCAAGGTAGGAGAAGAGGGAAATCACTCTCTGGCTGGTGGCTGCCAAGAGCTGTTGCTGTTATTCTTGCTCCGGGTTCCCATCCCCCATCAGCACCTTCCCAGAGCAGCACCTCCTTCTTCCTCACCTCTAGCATCATCACAGAGGTCACCACTGTGGGCTCCCAGGCATAAGTACGTTTTACTCTAAAGAGGAAGTGTGAGAAAACAACCTCACACCTACACAGGAGAGAGGGCCCAAGTGAGAGGGAAACCTTGACTCACCTCCCTGTCTGTTGCTACCTCTTTGGAATAAGCAAAGTAAAATAGGAGAGAGAACAGGAAATACTCACACAATTGTCAAGGATTTCAAAAATTAAGAGGTAACTTACACCTATCCTGTTTGAGAGCCCTCTTGGTTTTCTCTTCTTCATTCCAATCTCATGGTTGAAATTTCATGTTTTTTGGATACTCTATTACACCATCCAAGAAGTACAGTAATCCCCCATCCTTGGGGATACATTTCCAAGACCCCCAGAGGATGTTTGAAACTGTAGATAGTGTCAAACTCTATATAAACATTTTTCTGTACATATCTATGAAAATTTTTAATTTATAAATTAGACATAAGAGATTAACAATAACTAAAAATAAAATAGAACAATTATAACAATATATTGTAGTAACTTATGTGAATGTGGTCTCTTGAGATAGTCAAGACAAATATTAATATTTTCGTTAATCGCAGATAACTGAAACCATGGAAAGCAAAATTAGATTCTGAGATTCTGTAAATGTAAGAATTTAAGCTATGAATTATTCTTTGATACTCTGAAAGGTATGTTGTCGTGTTTCTTCAATGTCTTATGTAAAAAACTGTTTTAATTTAAAAAGTTGAAATTGTATTAGAATCAAGCATATTGCAGCAGACTAACAAAGATAAACTATAAGAAATAAATTTTAAAAGGATGTCTCTATTATTCAGGTATTGCAGTGAAGGCTGGGTTATCAGGCAGATTAAACAAGCTTTATATCCAATTCAAATGATTGCTGAGGAAGTTTTAGCTATTTATTAGAATGAGGTCTCATTATGTTGCGCAGGATAGCCGCAGACTCCTGGGCTCAAGAGATTTTCTTTACTATGCATCTCCGGTAGCTGGGACCACAGGCATGGGCTACCACGCCCGGCTAATTATGTATTTTAAAAAACACTATCACTCATTATGAGCTCTCCCTAAACCCTAAGTAGGTGCAGATTCTACCTCTGAAGTATTGTGCCCTATATATTTGATAGCAGTAATCATTTTAAGAGTGATACTTTTAAGTTTTACAAGTTTATAAAAATATTTTTTACAATAATTTACCCATTTGAAGGTGGTAATTTTCAAGTCATGTGAGGGCAGAAGCTCTCCAATTTACAAAGTTAATCATGTTTATATAGTTAACAAAGTTTATTATATCATTTAGGTCCTGGTACACAAATACTTGTCCCGTCATTCACTTGTTTAATCAATAGATATTTATTGAAAACTATTAGGTGGTATGCTCATATTTCTAGGTATTAGGCATATAGGGGTAAACAAGGCAAGATATAGTTTCCTCTCTATCCCCACAGCATATGAATGATCAGAGAAGAAGATTATTAGGAAGACCAGTTACGCAGCAATGTGGACCAGTTCCTGCAGGTTAAACACGGGACGACATGGGCGTTCACCCCACAGGCACCTGGCTTGGCTTTGGGGAAGAGAGTGCTGAGAGAGGTCAGGTTTAAGGCCTGACCACAGCTAAAGAAATAGCATTACAACACCATGAATGGGACCTCTTTTACAGCCCGATGTAATGTCAAGGGTTCACTTCTGCTGAAAATTCTTTCACTGAACCTCAACTGAAGACCTCAAACTGAGAAAATGTTCAGAAATGCATCTCCCAAAGACTGCTAGAATCATCTGCCCAAAAAGGGTTCCTTTCATTTGTACCTTCACATAGAATATTTTTTATTTTCCATTTTTCCATGAGCTTTGCTCAGGTTTTTCTCTTGCAACCCTATACCCTCTATTCAGTTAACTCTCTGAAACCACAGCACTTAGGTAAGTTAGATGATGTAGACAAACACACAGAGACCACAACACGGAGCCCACTGGTCATCTTGTTCTCACATACTGTTATTAACAGCATGCTATTTCTGAAGCTGCAGATCACAGTGTGAACACTAAACTAAAGCATCTCTTTGAAGTTTGATGGAAGCTTCCAAAACTATGTCTCACTGAGATTTTCTTAAACTCAATAATCTATGTGACAGGATTATCAGGCACCTCTAAAAAACATGGGGTGCAATTGCCATGGCTTTGTGTATAATCCTCTATAAATGTTTGTATGTCTATATTATACTGTACCATATAATTAGAAAATGCAATCCATAATACCATTTTTACATTTTCTTCTGTTGATAAAATACATGAGCAAATTTTTAAATTCAATTCAAATTTTAAAAAGGATTTAAAAAATATGTAGCCATCCATGTGTATCCTTCCTCCCTACACAGCCCACCTCAAGACTCTAGACATAATAAGGGAAATTACTGTTCCAGAGTGCTTCCTATTACACCACAGGAGTTGTTCTTTTACACAAGTCTATTACTATTCTATGAATAATACATGTCACATATTATATGCATGGGATACCTCTGTCCTTTTATAAGGAAAGA